ACCACGGCCATGACCATCACGGCGACGACTAGGACGATTACGGCAACAACCATCACCGCCAGCGCCACCGCCACCGCCACCACCACTGCTGCTACTGCTACTGCTACTGCTAGTGCTACTGCTACTGCTAGTGCTACTGCTACTGCTTGCTAATGCTAATGCTACTGCTACTGCTACTGCTACTGCTACTGCTGCTGCTACTACTACTACTCCTGCTACTACTACTCCTGCTACTACTACTACTACTACTGCTAATTGCTCCCCTCCCCTATGATGAAGCAAATCCCGCCCAAGGCATTGAATTTTTTTTGTGAAAAGTGATAAATACACAATAACGTCCCACACACCTTCGCGTAGTCCCCGCACAAGACCTCGCTCGCGAAAGGGCACCGAAGCATTGTGGCCTCCTGTTCGAGGTGCAACTTGAATCTGGGGCAGACTAAGTTCTTACTTACTGTGGAAAGCTTCAAGGGTGAAAACTTCAAGGGTGAAGACATGTTTGAGGCTGGTCACACACTGCCAAAAGCCACGATGGACAGAGACAGTGCTGTACGAAATTAGAATATTTCCGGGATGAGGGCCTGATTCATAGAGACCGAATTTCTTCGAGAGTCGTGCGGTCCTTTAGGTCGCTTTGTCATGCTCTTTTTTTCTGGTCAGTATTCGTTGTGCGCCACTGTTTCGGGATCTTGGTGGGAAGGGAAATCTCAACCGCCACGGGAGGTGCTGACCATGACTGAGGTGGCTGAGAGCTGGCTCATCCATCAAGTTGTGAGGGTGAAACCGCATTTTAGCTACCCGAGAAACTCCTAAACCTTAAGCCCCAAAGTCCCATCTGCCACACAACTATTTCCCGAATCGTTCTCAATCATGGTCAATCAACACCCTGGCCCCTGCACTCACTTTCTGGTGCGCATCGGCTGACCTCAGACGCGACATTGATTCAAAAAAAAGTAGCGCTGCCTGGCAGTGCTCCTCGAGCGTTCTGGTGGTAGGCAGGTAGGTAAATGGAGGGAGGGAGAAGCCTGGTTGCGGACTCCCGGCAAACAGATTCGGATATCTCTTGAAGTCGGTAATTTTTTTGGGGTTCCTCGTACTCAGGATGACTATTGTTTTTTCGGGCGAATATAAGGGACCCCGATTGTTAAAACTGAGATTCTAGCAGCGCATCGCATCGATTCTCGGATTATGTCGGATTATTGGGTCTGTAGCGGAAAGGTACGGGATTTGTTGGATGACCGGACTGTTGGAGATATGTGCCAAGTACATGTAGCAAGCGAGTTCTAGGAGTCGGGCTTAGTATCAACATATTAACATAGTAAGCATATATGTAGGTATGGAGGAGTAATAGGATTCTCATTACCACCAAACTTTCAGCCTTGCTGTGACACATTAAAGTCAAGTCGTAACACCACCAAAGGGGAATCTAGGCATGTGGCCAGCATTTCTTCCGGGGCACACAACGAGAGGGCATGCAGGGACGAAATCGGGTTGTGTATAGGCCCCGTACAGTGTTTGTATAGGATTTGTATAGGACTTATTCAGTGTTTACACCGGTTTTGTACGGGTCCTTCATATGGTTTATATGGGAGTTCTAGAATGCAATGTATTGAGGCTTCAGGAGCAAGCGATGAGGCCAGCGAAGTGGTGCTTTGGAAGATTTAAACGTGGGTGCGAAGGTTTCGTCCCGTGATAGATATTTGTTTGAGGGAAATTTCTAGAATTCAGGATGCTTCTTGTCTGCTGCATGTCCACTTTTCGCGAGGTTCACACAGGTTTACTAGCTTTATGGGGATTTAGCAGGATGGAAAATATGGCGTGTATAGAGAATTCCCCAACTCTCTGCCGACAAGCGCAGTGTCCAAAACATAGAGTATGTAACCCGATGTAGCGCCCACGTAACCCCGTTATTGTAGCCCAATAACCCATAGATAACTCCATAGCCCCCCATTGGTGCACACATCATGCTTGTTCCTTCTGTGATTGACCACGGACCTTCAGATCGTGGTTGCATGTCACTCAAACCAAGATGCAAGATTGGTTACACATTTTTGGCTCGAAGCAGGCTAGCGTTGCGGTCCTGGCTAATGTGACGTGTGTTTGGTAACTGTTGCTCGGACATTGAGAGATGTTTTGCATGTAGTGAGTGTGTTACAGAGTGTAAACAAATGCTTTTCTTCCAGTCACCGGATGAGGTCTTCGGCTGCCACGACATGTGGCTTTTTCTTATCTGCGCTTTGGTTCCCACCGCTGCAATTCGCCGCGATCAGGAGTATCTTGACGGCGCCTGACAGTTCATATAGCAGAATACAAGAATATGTTGTCATCGGACATGCCAATGGACAACTCAGGACTGTTCCGTTCTGCTGGAACTGCTGCGCAAGCTCCAAGTGCTCTCAGAAAAGCCACCGAACCCGCTATTTTGGCAAGGCAAGCTTCCTTGAGTGTGAGCCTGTTCCAGGCGTCTACAAGAAGGAGGGACACATGGCAACGGCTTAGATAGTAAGGGCGAACGTGCGAGGTGTTGGTGACTGGGAGAGATCCCCAATCCCATGACCCACGCATGCCCTGCTAAGTCCCAAGCAGCACTGACCAACTTTGCCACTGGACTTGAGAGTCGGCTGGAGTTTTTTTTTGCAAATCTGAAGCTGTGATTTCCATGGGCTTCCCCAGAAGCCCAGACTCGCATCCAAGGACAGGTAGTGACACCGGAGATGGTGCAAGAGGGGGCATACTTTGGCAAGGCAAGCTACCTTTGTGAAGAGAAGTGTTTCTCGGATGCCAAGTACAAGTTGTCAGACTGTCCATTGTTTCTCTTATGGGCGAATGTCTTGCAAGGCGTTGCGCAGCCGAGGCTGGATGACTTTAGAGTGGACGAAAGGCCAAAAATCTAAAGGAAGCGTTTTTCGTGCGGGGGGCGCCACCTGGCTGAGCAATCCTCTTACTGCGCACGTCTTGTGAACCGGAGTTCTCTTCACACCTCTGGTAATCCGCCTCCCTGGTATGGAACACCTCCACTGTCTGTATCATGTGTTCCTCGAGATACTGTCATAACAGACTATTGGGAGTGTTAGAAATTCGGTGGGTGGGGGAAGTTTTACGTTGGGGGGCACTCATTCCTATCGGGTCTCTACCAAAGGATCTCAGAAGTGGGTTTGGCTATCATCCTAGAGCACCAACTGTTTGGCAGGCAGGCAAATTCCCAGGTGTTGTTCCATAGCGAGGTAGATGCGAGTTGTATATGGGTATGTAAGGGGTATTTAGGTTTAGGGTTTTGGAGTCAGGCTTTAGGATTTAAATATGCAATGGGGGCTTCCAAAAATTAGGCGTCCCTTTTTGGGTGTGTTTAGAAGGGTACTCTTCTTTTTTAAGGGGTGGCGGGGAGGGGGGGGGTAGAGGGGGGACCCTAACTTGTTTTGGAAGCTCTCGCCTAGGGTGAGTGGCGTCCTTACTGTGTCAGTGTGTCATTGTCATTTCCCATTCCCCCCACTATTGAAACTCGAACTCCCTCATCCTAAATGTTCCTTACAACTTACAAGATTTGTTCAGCATCTTAAATGTTGTGGGATGGGGATTCCAAAGACCTTAAACCCTAAACCAGTCAAATGAGCCGAACTTGAGAAAAATATCTGCGCGGGGGTGGTCGTTTTGGGGTCGGGGCACTTAATGAATGGGGAGTTTTCAAAGTCATGGTCCCTTGTTGCGTGCCTAGAAAAGGGAGGCCATAACCCATAAAAGGACCATAATTCTGAACATCTAATGAGCATACTCGCCTTACAGCCATTTAGCCATATGATAATAGCACAGTTAAGCCGTGCGATTCACCCACTAACGAGGTTTTCTGATGAGCCTCCAAGTAGACCCTGAACATAGACTATATAGGGTACTAGAACGGGGTTTTATATATATATATATAAAGGGAAAGAAGATGGAAACTACTATAGTATATCAGCTATGGTTACCACCGCAACTACAGAAATCCTTTCGGTTCTTTTTGAATTCCATACTGGTACATTATGTCCCCTACATGACTTCGTATAACCCCATGCAACCCCATCTTAACCCTATCACGAACACAAGGTGCTAAATCCGAAGCCCTAAGCCCTAAACCCTCAGCATTGCCCTTACTTGTTATGAAAGGTGGACGGTGGCAGTTGTGTTTACGAGAGCGTCGACGGCCTCAAGTGGAAGAAGGAAGAAGACAAGATGCCAGAGTACAAGCCGAAACTTGATGAAATCCTTTTCGGGTTTAGGGTTTAGGGTTTAGCGGTTAGGGCATAGGGTTGCCAGTTTCTCAAAATGATGGGCCCTTTCTCAGGGCAGGAATTCTACAGTGCTTTGGAGGTATGGAGTGTATCCCAATTATAATGAGCGCCCTTAGCCCTAAGTCCTGAACTGGCGTAATCTTCGACAGATGTCCAGCTTGTCTGCTGGCGCAAGCGGTGGGATGAAGCTAGGCGAAGTGAGGGGTGCCTGTTGTAAACTCTGGTTTAGGGTTTGGGGTTTTAGGTGTGTATGGCTTCCCCAACATAGACTCCGTGTAGATCGAATTAAAACTTAAGGGGCTGCGCCCAGGGGCGGGCAACGCAGGCAGAATATTTTCTTGGGTTCCCTCCCAAAACACCCACTGGCCCAAACCCAGGTTCTCGGGCCCAGAACCTGGGTTTGGGCCAGATGAGGTCATTTTTGGTTGTTTTGGAGGGGTTTACACCAAACGTGACCACATCTGGCCCAAACCCATGGTTCTGGGCCCAGAACCATGGGTTT